TCCACACCCCCAACTAGTCTCTGAGACCAAAGAGTCCTTCACATAGAGTCGAGCTTGAGGTCACTTTAGGCTACGGGCCTCTGGCCATCACTTAATTACAGCTTATACTGTACTTTCTGGTGTTTTTACTCAAAGGTGGTACCACTATTCCATGGGAAATGGCAACAGGAGTCCCCAAGAGGTGAGGAAGATTCCTCAATCATTTCTTACTGAGGATGCTGAGGGAATACCTACTTGAAGACCGCAGCATCCAACCGCATTCATAATGGAGGCATTGTGGATGACCGTGTATCTGATGCCAGCCTTCAGCGCCCTCAGGACCAAGTCGCTGTGGGTGGTAGCCCTAAACAAGCCCAAAAAAGCATATCAAACCAATGTAGAGTTACAAACACAAGTGTTGCTAGCCTTCAGCTGTTCCGGTAAAAGTCCTGCAGCACCGTACACAGTCAGAGATCCAGCCAAAATGGAAACACACATTTTTGGCCTCCTGCTTCATCCACGGACCCACAATATGTGATTAACTTTATAAAAACCGGAGTGTGTGCCAAGGATTTCGTGACCAAGAGGGAAAGCGAAGCCTGGAGCGGGAACCTCATTCATATGGGCTTTCGTGGTTGCGGGTGGAAAAAATCTGCCGAGCTAAACGTTCTGCACGTCTTTGCCTGCGACACAAGCGGTTATAGCAGATGGGGAGTCTGTGGATCTTTCCAGAATGCTGCCCCGGCCTTTCTGATGCGCTTAAGTCCAAGCTGTTTGGTCCTGTATTCTGGGAAGCACCACCAGACCTGAACAAATTCCCATAAATATTTGATTTCTGTGTTGGCTTTTAAATTCCCCTTTAATAACTTGTGCTGTCACGACCTACCATAATGAATCATAGAAAGGTCCAGGAGAAAAGCAGGGCAAAGTGCCCTGTTCACTCTCCTCTAATCACTACAGAAAACATGCCTGTGTATCCCAGTTGTATTATATCTTTAACATCAAGTTAAGCTATTCAGAATACTGTACTATACTGCACATAATCTCTTCAACTATTTAACATCAGACTTTTTTAATGTTCCAAAACTGACTCCTTGTACCCCCAAGATAACAAAGTTGGAAACTCAAATGCTAGGGTTACTTAAGATACCCCCAGTTGTGCAGCGTCCTACTCACCCGAATGGATCGCCCACAACCAAGAAGGCCACGTCGACGGTGTCCGCCCCTTTAAGGATCTCGTCAGCTTCCTGCTCCACCATGTCCCGGTCCGCAAGTATCAGCTCACGGCCGTAGAATTCCTCCTGGGTTCAAAACATACCGAGTGACGACGAGAGCAACCAACAGTGTTGGGTTTCGCAGATGGTAGATCGTGGGAAGATGTCACCCGTAGCCGCTGTGAGGTCCGTGCAGTTTGTTACGCCATCTGTCTTTGGCTTATTGTCAGCCCATAAATCTTTCTGCCACTTGCTCATTTCAGCAAGACATAAAATTTTGTGTGGTTGACATATCTCACATGAAAAACGAAAACAAATGCTTAGAACAAAACAAGACCAGTAGTGGGCCAGACTGCTACCTAAATTGATCGTAAGCAATTAGTAGAGTATAAGCTGATACTGATACCATGCAACAGTGACTTATTTAATATCGATATATATTTTTTTTACCAAATGATGCACTGCTTTTCCTGGAGCTGGTTGCTGACAGAATCCCCCTTCCAGGATTTAAACATGCAGCCTTCATTCTCAATTTTGATAATTGAGTGGCCAAGATGTAACATGCTAGCTGCCCGTTTGTCAGACCTGGCATAGTATATGGAGTTGGGACCTCAGACATACACGAGCTCATTTGGAAGGAACCCCCAGTTCCCAAGGGTCTGCTTTCATTGCTGGACTTGCCTGGATAACACTGTGGCCCTTAAACGCTGACATAGGTCTGTACTGGGGGCCGTGTGTGCTGGTCTTTAGTGTAACTCAGCACTTCATTCATGAGAGAGCTGGGAGTGTGACTTTCCTGCTAAAGACTGTCCCCTACTCTTTCTATACTGGTGGTCTATATTGTAATGATTTATAGTTGTTACAATGACCTTACTTTGAAATAGGAACTGAGACTCTTATAGTGCATTACTGTAGTTTTTTTTTTCTTAAACTTACAGATGACTGACAGTTTCTTCTGGGTGGTGGAAAAACTGTTTCATTGTTGTTTACTTGGTAACTGAAGGAGCTGCATTTATTTTACTGTAATTTATTCTCCTTCAGCTTAGAACTAAATGATGGTTTGCTAAGCTGCAATGAATGTGGTTATGAACTTCAGGTAAAACGGTGCGTAATCAGGAAAAGGAAGGAGTATAAGAGAGGAATGGATAAGAAAGACTTTGATTATGATCTTGTTTTTTTCGGAACTTATCTTTTTGCTCAATCACTGTATGCCACTAATGCGCTATGGACCCACTAAGTAATGATGTGGATCTGTGCTCCCAGTCTCCAGAGTGAATCCTTTAACAGGGATCTCCCCAGTGTGAAATATCTGTACCCACCCATGTTCTGTAACCACCTGTCACAGCAGGGGGGTTGGGGGTGTCCAGAACCTATCCAGGGAACAACCCAGGATGGGGTGACAACCCAATGCAGGGCACATTCACACATCTACGGACATTCACACATCTACAGACATTCACACATCTACGGACAGTTTGGTAGATGTGCCTACCAAATCTGGTAACTCCAAATAGCATCAGCATGTTTTTGGACACAGGGAGAACATGCAAACTCCACACTCCACAGAGGAGGAGGAGGAGGTAAGGGACATGCACTGATTACAGCGTGTTGCCACACCCACCACATGACAAACCACCTCAGGGATGAGAACCTGAGTGCAGCCATGTGGCAGGTGATACCTCAGCATGCTAGTCTGAATGGACCAGTGTGGGTTTCTTCTGGTGGCTGGAGTGTCAATCCTGCCACCAACCTCCAAGTTTTTCCCTGTAAGTTGGAGGACCTCCTTACAGGGTTGAATGTAGATTAATGTCATACCCAGGACAAAGAAATTGCAGGTTAAGGGCCTTGCTCAAGGGCCCAACGGAGTAGAATCACTACCGATTCATGGGATTTGAACCCACAGCCTTCCAGCTGCTGGCACAGATCCCTATCCTCAGAGTCACCAAAACTCCTAACCACTGCGCCACCATGCCTCCTGTGCCAATGCCTGTACCAGTTTCTCAAAGCATACAAAATGTTCCCCTTTAAAGCTCCTCTATAAGTCACTCACTAAGCACATACAATGTGTTCTAACCGATGTTTCACCTGCTTTGTCATCTTCACTTTCGTTAGTTTTACACTGCAATCTAAATAAATCCATTTCTTAACACAAGATCTCGCTTGATATTTTGACGATGGCGTTTTGCTTTACACTGGTACTAACAGTAAGGAATGGCAGATAGTTTCCTCCTCGCTACAATTCAAACGATGTAATAATCCGCACTGAAATGAGTGAAATTTCAACAGAATAAAAACCAACCTACCAAAGCTTGTTTACCGACAGTCAGTATGGACGTGTATGCTTCCAAGTAGACACGACTGCATTGTTTAATGATTTCCAGTCCCTTTACAGTGATGTCTTTCGCATCTCCTAAACCAAGGCCAATAAAATACAGCATTTCCACTAAAGTGTCAAGTTAGAGTTATCTCATGTAATCGAGACAAAAAGCCCAGGTTAAAATATTCGGCTTCGTTGTAATTATACTATACTATATAATACATCTATGTATTATTATAGTATAGAAATAGTATTTCTTCAAGCACGCTCTTTCACGTATTCGCTACCCATGCATGCATGCCGGAATCTTTCTAACTACGATCAGCAGTCAAAACGCTGGAGCAGGCTTCTGTCGCAAAATGAAAAACGTGCCGCCGTAAAGCAGAAATGCAGTACGACACTGTCGTAGTAGTGAACAGAGTAGTTGGTGGTTGTTCTAACTATACCTATAACAAGTGGCTTTAGGTTTTTGATTAACTACATTGTGAATGGGAAAGTTTTGTATGTAGATAAGGTCGTGTAAATCCTAATAAAGTTTGGTATGAAATAGTTATTGAACATCTGCATATTGACACATCTGAACATCTGGGGGAAAAAAATAATGGAAAAAAAAAACTTAGACTTACATTAGCGTGACCATCTTTTACTTTGCAAAATAAAGGACAGGGAGATTAGAGAGTTGTCAAAACAACGCAAATATGCACAAATATTAGTATTGACTATAGAAAACAAATGCATGGTTGCCATCTCTCACGCTCATGCAAGACATCTTACAGCAAATGTATAGTATTCCATTATAACTATATATATATATATATATATATATATATATATATATATATACACACACACACAGGGCGATGCTAAAGATTCTGGGCCCCATGAAAACATATCATATTGGGGCCCCCCAGGCCAGAACAATTTAGTTCTTTTCCAAATTTCTAACGGCCCCTGTCATCATCCTAACTCCCCCCAACGTCCCTGTGTATGTGGCTTTTGGACAGTTTTAGCCTGACGTCAGGGTTCCACCCCTACTCTTTCACAAAGATGCCCAGGGATCTTTCATGACCTGAGAGAGTCAGGACCTTGGTTTTACATCTCATCCAAAGGATGGCATCATTTTTACAGCACAGTGTCCCTGTCACTGCACTGGGGCATTGGGACCCACACTGACCACTATTAGTCACAGCACCTCTTCCAGCAGCAAACCTGCTTTCCTAGTTTGGTCTCCCAACCAAGTACTGGCCAGGCCCAAACCTAGCTTTAGGTGTGTGTGTGTGTGTGTGTGTGTGTGTATTTTATATATCATTTCATGAAATCAGAGGCACTACCACGGAACAGGCAGGGCAGGCAAGCTGGGAGGGGCCCCCAAGGGCAGCCGATTACATAGCGCACATTGCAACGACAAATATGCTTTATTTCTGTATTCGGTTCTTCACAAAAGTAAAAATAAAGATGTTTATTAAATTCTCTTATTGGTATTACTAATTTACACTTCATGGTAAAATAAAGAAAATTAATTGGACCATGCTGGGGGAGGGGGAGGTTTTTGCTCTGTTGCTGCCTGGATGCCTTTTCACAGTTCTAAGGCTGTGTTTCTCCTGGATTGCTCTGGTAAGGGGGAGGAGTCAGCATTATTATGGATGCAACTGTCTAATGAATGGAAGGCTCTGGGATTCGAAGGCAGTGGGGGACAGTGTGTGATCCTGCAGGTTAGGACTCCTGATTGGATGGTCACTGGTTCAAATCCTGTTGATGGTAGAGTGATCTTACTGTTGAGCCCTCAGGCAAGGCCCTTACCCTCTATTTCCCCAGACACCGACTGATCCTGCTCTCCGATCCTCATGTTGTTTTGGACAAAAGCATCTGGTAAATAAAGAAGTGTGACACGTTCACTGCACATGGGAACTGTACAGTGTTGACATTGATTTTCAGTTAGGAAAGCTGACATTCTATGGAAAAAGAGACATGAAGATGACCTCATGCAAGGAGAGAGAATGCAAGTAAGTGACCTGCAGTTGGGTTTATAATGAGTCAGGATAGCGTTTCTGTGGAAATGCATTTATCACAAACAAACTCCTCATATTATGAAAGCAATTAGATTTAAAGTAGTAATTTGAAGGAATTTAAAGCTGACAATTACATTACAAGTACAATAATTATAATTTATAAATTATAATAAAAGACAAAGAAATGGGCCAATCAGGTTTTTCCCTGGCCCGCACATGATCATCATCGCTCAGGATCCGCACTGTTCAGCCCCCCCCCACGGCTCAGCGGAGCCCACACGCCCCGTCACGCATGAGCAGTGGTGGCGCGAGCGAAAGGGAAACACTGTCAACGGAAAACCCTGTCCTCTGACCCCCCCCCAGGGAAATGTCCAAGAAGGTCAGACACAGGCCGTGTTTCCAAGCGCCCGTGTGGGAAACCAGGGCGATCGTAAGGCTTCTCTCTGCAGTTTGTTTTCCCTGTCCTGGTATCTTGAGGTGGGTTTGGTGGAGTTGATTTATAGTCTGTGTCCAGCCCAGTCGTATATCTGGTAAAAGTGGACATTTTCTCTTCACCCCAGGGGGTCAGGTCCAGGGTCTGTGCAAAAATAGATGCTTGTACACTTCTGCACTACAATAAAGGCGCATTGCTGGGTTTATTTGAAGCTATTCTGAACACTGAGGGTTGGTCATCTTGCATGTCAGCGGTGGACTTGATAAAGTCAATCTCTCCAGCGTCTAATACTTAGTGGACTGCATCTGCGCTCCACTCGCGAAGGAGATTCGCTTTGTTACTGTAACGCGGCCTTCGGTTCAGGAGGGCTGAATGAAAACACGGGTAGGTATAGAAAGGCGGTGAAAGCCGGCGCTCTCCAGCCCTCCTTTCTGAACCGTTACGTGTGCCGACGTTTGCGTTGAAAAGGCTGGAAAACAGCCCCCTTTCCTTTTTAATTTCTTATTGGAGAAAGGGGGAAAAAAGTGGGAACAGGGGAAAAGTGGCATTGAAGCCCCTTTGAGGGTCCCTGCTCGTCCCCACAGCCTTTTCAAAGGCCCAGCTCTGAATGGGCTGAGTGATGGGACGAGCCATTGTGCTGGGGGGCTCTGTTCGGGGGGGTAAAGAGACCACACCACTGAACCCCATAACCCCATCCCTCCCACCATCGCCACCACCCTGAAAACCAATTCATCAGGGACCCCCACCCCTCTTTCCCTCACCTTATGTGACCCCCCCCCCTTAGCTCCAGCTGTGTCCCAGGCCCCTGTCCAACAATCAGCTACCGGTAAGATCCTCTGCTGTCCGTGGTCGGGCTCTGGCTCAGAGTACGGCACGGAAGCCTCCTGTCTGCTCTAAGGGCCGTATACAATATTATTCTCAGTTAATCACTGCTGTG